ATAAATATGCCTTTTTTTATGAAACCCAAGGACCATATCGTAATGGAATGTCAATGTTTTATATAGTAATCCAATTATTAGAAAAGATGGACAGAAAGCAGAAAGTTATTGATATCCTTGATACTCAAGAACAAGGCACAGAAATGGTAGCACAGCTGTGAGATTTAAGATTCCCAGATGAACGACTCAGGAGACTCCATGAACAATACAAAGAGCTGTTTATTGAACCTTTTGCAAAAGGGACTTCCTTGTGCTCATGTGAGACACAAAGCAAGTACAGATTACTTATGATTACAAGTTTAAATACAGTTTCAGCGTAAAAATCCTCCCCTTTGTACCGCCCCTTAATTACTTACATAAGATAATATTACTTACATAAGATAAGTGTTTTGGTTAAATAGCAACTGTTTTCCCGGATTTGAATATCCCCTGATAATTGTGGTCATACCAACATTATCAATCTCAATATGACAGCCCTCTTCCTGCCAGTGTCAGCTTGACCTGACATGGAATGTCCTTAATCAATTTATGGCTGTTATTCCCCTCTGTTATTTCCCAAGAAATCCTGTATTTCATAACTGCCTCACATCTGGTCATATGACCTTTTTAGGTCATATAAAGGACAAACATGGCCCCTCTCTTGTTCTGCTTTTACAGGAATAATGTACACTTCTCTCAACAGGGAGGAGAGTTTGAACCAGTAGACCATTTCTTAATCAAGGCAATAGACCATTTCTTAATCAAGGCAATAGCCTATTTCTTAATGGCAACATTGTGCCATCTAAAGGCTTATAGTATAAGACAGAGCAGATGAGACACTAATTACAAGACAACACATGGAAGGGGTCATAGACATATGCACAAGCACACATGCCTCCCACACACAAACTTGTGGTAGAAAAATAATTAAATCTCTTTACAAAGTTCCCAAAAAGAGACGATGTCTATTTGATATTTTGTATTAAATAGGATGTAGAAGTGGACATCAAATGTCATAAACATTGACTTGTCATCAAAGCATATTTCCAAAAGATCAAAGTTGACAATGAAATCTTTCCATGTGCCATAAACAGACAACTTTTGAAAGCATTTTATAATGGTTCAAGTAATCCTTGCTTTTATAACTATTTTATAATGATACAGTCACTTATCAACCTGCCTCATTAAGCAATAATTACAAAGATTAGGGGAAAAAATGGCTTTGCAATTATGACTGTGGCAGCATCCAAGAATCATGTGATTGTGATTCATGTGCTTAACAATTGGCTTCCAACAAGCAGCATTAATGAAGGATGGGGAAATGGAATATTAAGTAGTGATCATATGATGTCTTATTTAATAACCTTAGTGATTCATTTAATGACAGAAATGGACTTACAATGAGGTTGTAAGTCCAGCATGGTCATGTGATCTCCAAAGGACTGGGGTACTTCTAACAGATTTGCCAATTCCAGTTGTGGTCAATAGGCAAGGACTACCTGTACATGCAATGTGAAAATGAACTCATAGTCAAGTCTTCAATGGGACTTTTCCCACAAAACTCTAGTAAGCATGAATTACAATTATTGAGAGATTTAACTTTGTTTTCCCCTAGGACTTATGAAGAGTTTGAATCTTTCGAACTCTTGCTGCAGCCCATCCTCAGGAGCCCAAAAGCTCAGAAGACTAAACCTCTGGTCTTGGTGACTGACCCAAATTGGATCCTGCCTTTTCTAAAGAAATGTTTAGAAAATAAAAATAGTGGGCAATGTGGGATATCCTGTGTGATACTCTGGAGAATTCCATGTGTTGAGACTATTAGCTGCTAATTGCTAATTATGTTAAACATCCAGATACTTGTTATAATATTTTGTTAATTCTTTTTGTATGGTCTAGAGGGAAGCAAAATAATTGCAAATGTGAAGTCAACTTATTATTGAACTTCCCAAATATAAACTCAAAGTTACCCACTGATACATGTTTTTCATAGCTGAACAATTTGTGTAGTATTTCTGCATTACTGGATAATAATTCTGTGAAGAAAAATAGTAAGTGATGAATATACTGATTGTTGTGCAAAAAGGCCATTTCCTGCTTTCTAAAGTGAATTGGCACTTCTTTACATATCCGTGACTCTACATTACATTCATTATTATACTTCTGACTCTGGGGAAAGGATTGAAAAAAAAATAAAATTATAACCCAGTATTTTGCTATAACAGAGAAACTTTTTAGGGTTGGGAGGAGAACAAAGATTTATTCTAAAAGGTAGGTTTAAAGTATTATGAAAAAAATAATAGAAATCTGCTGCAGTAGAGGGGGTGGTGTATAACCTTCCTAAATAATGAAGCAAGGCAATGCTTAATATAATGGTATATCTTCCGCATGTGAATATTGGATGTTTTAAAAAGATGTATTTTACAATTTGCACAAATTTAAATACTCTGGTTGAATTGAATACTAATTGATGAATTAGCATCTATAAAATCATTTCTAGATCAATCTGCACTTATGGAATAATGTTTGTTTTCCATTTTAGTTAAAAATTTGATTCACATTGTCCAAATTCATTGCTATGGTACAATGTGTTCATTCTATAATAAAGGAAAAATAATGGAAAAAACAAATCCCTCATTGTTCTTTGTTATATTTTTGGTAGGAACATTCAAATATGATTTGTTTTAAAATTTAGCTAATCAATAAAATGTACCTCCAATCTCACAATTATCAGTCAGTGGAATGGTCCATTTAAACACACCATTATGGTTGCACATTATTAATTATGCTAAAATAGTATAAGTAATAAACTGTGAGAAAAATAGGAGTGATAATTAAAAATATTTTTAAAAAGCATTCATAAATTAGAAAGCTTGAAGGCGAGTGTTAGAGCGTTTCCCTATGAATTGGAAAGGAAGAAAGGAAGATAGTGGGTCTTCTGCTACTTAGTCAGAGCTCTTTCACTGGGTTTCCTTAATGCATTCTTGACGTTCTCAAACCATGGTTCTCTTGAAGCTGAAGACCAAGACCAGTCTGAAAGGTTTGATTGATTCTGAATACAGCTGATCAATTGAAGCCAGTGTGCTCTTCCAGGCTATGAAACCCAGCTCAACTTGTTTGCTTCAAGGAGTCAGGAAAACTATACATTCAAAGTCCAGGAAAGCAACAGAGTAGAAATTTTGGCTCTGTTTATCTAAAGCCCAACCATCGCTGGCCCACAAGTTCAACTTATTGAAGGGGCATAAGTGTCCTTTGTCAGTATCAAGGTCACAACGGGTGAGGCTCTTTCAGTCTGGGGCAAAGAATCTGGCTTCCGAGGCTCAATGAGATTTCTCTCAGAGAGAACAAAAAAGTGAGGAAGCCACTCAGGGCTGGGTACCCCTTTCTGCATATCTTCTGAATGACTTCAAGTAAGAGGAAAGGAGGAAAGCAAGGCAGGGCACAACACAGGAAGTTTCATGGAAAAGCATACGAGCCACTCAAGAGGTTATGTTCCTTGTTCTGACTAACAAATCTTAATTTGAAATTATTGGATCCCTTTTAATATTGATATTAATTTTCTTTCCTGTAGCTATTAGAATTGTAGTAAAAGCAGTCTATTTTTCTTCAGAGTGGGATGTCTTCTGAAACTAAAAATGTCTAGCAGATTTCTTCTAAAGCATAAAGTTTCACTTCTGAATGAAAAAAAAAAGAAATAATTCTTCCATTAAAAAAAAAATGACTTGACCATAAAATTAAGCAAACTTTGAGCCAAATTGAATGTCTTAAGTAAAGTTCTAATATTTCTTATATAAATACTCAACCAACATTTTTTGTTTTAAGCATTATAATCTTATTTTTCAAAATCTATCAGAACATGTGACAAAAAGGTTCTCCATCTCTTTGTGTTTGTGTCTGTGTTAAACACACTCAGACATTAGGCATTCTCTGCTCCCAAGCACCACATCTATAACTTCATGGATTTATGTTGTGGTTCTGTACCCTGTCTTTCCTTTATATATTATATTTATTTAATTATTGCTATCCTTCCTTTAATATTTATTTATTTATTTATTTTATTTGTCAAGCATGTATGAGAAAATAAGTATAAACATAACATAAACATAAGTATAAACAGGTATAAGTATAAACATAAGAAACAAGTACAAATAAATGGAAACAGTAGGACAAAAAAAAATGTTGGTGCGCTTATGCACATCCCCTTACAGACCTCTTAGGAAAGGGGTGAGGTCCACAGCAGACAATTTAAGTTTAAAGTTATGGGGGTTTGATGATGTAACAAGAGAGTCAGGTAGTGCATTCCAGGCATTGACTACTTTGTGGATGAAATTGTATTTTCTGCAATCAAGTTTGGACTGGTGTACTATGAGTTTGTATCTATTGTTTGCCCCTGTATTGTTGTGGTTGATATTATTGTGGTTATAAGTAACTCAAAATTGAAAACATACCTAATACTCCTTCCTCCTTCTATTTCTCCCACAATACCAGCCCTGTGAAGTGGGCTGGGCTGAGAGTGACTCAAAGTCATTTAACCAGTTTTTCATATTTAAGGTGGGAGAAGAACTCACACTCTTCTCATTTCCAGGGCAACACTTAACTTTCACTCCATTTGTTTTACGAACAACCAAGTCTTATAAAAATATAACGAAAATGACCAATATAAAGTCCCCCAAGCTTCCTCCATAGCTAAAAATGGTCTTGATAGACGCATTCAAATTCTAAAAAACATTTTAACCATCACAACAATATAAAGAATTGTGATGGAAAAAGGTAAGAAAAAGAAGAGGGGTTTTTTTGGTTGGTAATTTCATGAATGTTTAATTGAAATATATGGAGAGTGCACTGACTAGACATTGGCATTCTTTGAACATGATATAGTTTGTCACTTTACTTTTAAAGTTTTCCTTTCTGTTCTCAGTACGTATGAAGCTGTAACTTCATTGTTTTAATTAAATGGTTTTTTCACGTCAGATTCCTTACAGATATGGCATTCATCTCAGTCCTAATTTAAGAGAATCAAGAGAATGGAGAATCAAACAATTGTATCTTACTTTCTGCTCCTGGAATTCTCCAAAGATCGTCATCTGCAGCTTCTACATTTCTTCTTATTCTCCATATTATACCTGGGAACTGCAGCAACAAATCTTTTCATCATCTCTGCAGTAGTTGTTGACCATCGACTACACACACCAATGTACTTCTTTCTAGTGAATTTGGCTGTGCAGGATATGGGTATTGTTTCAGTCATTGTTCCCAAATCCATGATAAATTCCCTCATGGATGCCAGACACATCTCTTACTTTGGTTGCGTTGCACAAGTCTTGATCTTTGTCTGTTTTGAAGCTTCTGATTTATCCCTCCTGACAGTCATGGCATATGATCGGTATGTTGCCATTTGCCACCCACTGCACTATGAAATGGTAATGAATTGGAAAGCCTGCACCAAAATTGTGATCCTGGTGTGGGTGGCAAGTTTTCTCTATGCAATGTTGCATACCTGTGGCACTTTTTCTACTCCTTTCTGTTCTAATGTTGTCAATCAGTTTTTCTGTGAGATTCCACAATTGCTAAAGTTATCATGTTCTGGATTTAGTCTAATTGAAGCTGGAGTTATATTTGTGAGTATCTCTGCAACATTTGGTTGTTTTATTTTTATTTTTGTCTCATATACTTTGATCTTCAAGGCAGTGTTGAAAATCCCTTCTGTGAAAGGAAGACAGAAGACTTTTTCCACTTGTCTTCCCCATCTTATTGTCTTTTCCATTTTTTTGGTACCTGCATGCTTAGCATATCTGAGACCATCTTCTAACACTGCAACTTATTTAGATTTTGCATTAACTGCCCTATATTCTTTATTTCCACCATTTTTCAATCCTATCATCTATAGCATAAAAAATAAGAAAATCAAGTCTGTGCTGTCTAAATTGTGTAGAGTCTGACATTTTATTTTGATTTTTTTTTTTCTAACATGTTTTTCCTTACATCAAATGCTCTGAATCTTTTCCCGTCATTTTTTGGGGCTACGATAGAAGTAGAGTTTGCCATTCTGGACCAATGACAGTGATTGAGAAGATGTAAACCTACAATCCCACAACTCTAATTACTGCCCTGTTTTTCAGGATGCTTTAGCAGCATCCTGAATTCCATATGTTGAAAACTACCGTCCTAGGTTTTCAGGATCAGATATAATGATGAGCTTATACCCTCAAAATCTTTCTATCATTCTCTTCCAATTTGAAATCCTAGTTTCTGTTCAATACAGGTGGTCTTTCATTAGAGAAAAAAAAACCAAAGTAGAGATTATCTTTATTGAAATCACAATCCAATTTTTTTCCAATACATTCATTGCAAAATATGGTCCTGGAGCTGATTTTATATATCACACTAAGCCACTGTTCAATCAGTTATTGAGTAAGCTACAATTTACTTACCTCCCAGACAATAATAAGGCATAAATCATGATTTAAATACTATATATTAACTAGTTTCACACAATGTATAAATCAAAGCTAAGGAAACGTTATGATTTAGCAAATTGTTTCAATAAGCCCATAATCTCTTTGTAAAGTAATCCTAGGCACTATCATTCAATTTTTAAAATAAATTGTTTTAATTAATGTTATACTAATATACATTTTTTTTCAAAAATTTACATTGTTTCAGAGGGCAAAATCTTTTCCAAGGAGAAAAAGTCAGATTATTGCCATATTTATTGGGAAATACTTAGTTGGCATATTGCATTCTGCATATGTCTTATGCCAATTTGTGATTGAGAGGGTTCGATAGGAAAGGAAATCTGGATGTTGTGTAGTATATATAAAGGCAGACTTACAATGGGCTATTACAGATAGTCCTTGATTTACAACAATTAGTTTAGTAATGGTTACAAGTTACAACGGCACTAAAAAAGTGACTTATGACTATTTTTCACACTGTCCATTGCAGCATCTCCATGGTGATCAAAATTCAGATACTTGACAAATGACTCATATTTATGATAGTTGCAGTGTCATCTGATTACCTTTGTGACCACCTGAGAAACAAAGTCAATAGGAAAGCCGGATTCACTTAAGAACTGGGTTATTAATTTAACAACTGCAGTGATTCACTTAACAACTGTGGAAAGAAAGGTCATAAAATGAGGCAGAATTCATTTAACAACTATCTCACTTAGCAGCAGAGATTTTGGGCTCAGTTGTGCTCATAAATTGAAGATTACTTGGATTCTATTTTTTAGATGAACACTATTTCCAAAATTTGTAGCTCTATATTTCTTAATAAAATAACCTTACCATGGAAGGAGGATTCAGTGCTATATAGTATCTTTCTAAGCAAATGCCAAATTCTTTGTTTACAGTTAGTTTTATTTTATTTTTTTATTTTTATTTTTTAAATTATTATTTTTTCCTTAAAAAACACAAACAAAAGCAAAACAAAAGGAAAAGGAAAAAACTTTCCATTTTACAACAATTCCGTATCAGTGTATAATCACAATTTGTATTTTCCCTCCTTCATATTCACATATTTGTAATTGTGGTTCCCTTATTTCTTACATATTATTTATACTACTTCTTACTTATTTATACATTTCTATTATATCTATATATTATTGTACACACATTGTGTATTTCGTACCATTTTCCTAATACTTCCTTATCTCAAGTTCATCTCTATTGTATATTTTCTTATTTATTATTCCTGCCTCCAACCATTTATACCATTTATTTTGGTATGATATTATTTTTCCAATTTTATGCATAGATTATCCTAACTGCAGTTATAATACTGTATGTAGAATTAGATATTGTATTTCTTTATTATAATTTCTTGTATGTATGCCCAATAAAAATAATTCCGGTTTGCAGTCTATTTGATATTTAGTTATCTCTTCGAGCCATTTTTTAATTTTAGTCCAATACTTTTTTTGCTATTGCACATGTCCACCATAAAAGAAAATATGTCCTGTATGATTTTTTACAAATCGATGATGTGTTTGGGAGCATCTTAGCGAGTTTCGCTGGTGGGAGATGCCATCTATAAAACATTTTGTACTGGTTTTCCTTATAAGCTGCAGACATAGTCAATTTCAAATTTATTACCCAAAGTTTTTCCCATTTCTCCAAATCTATGCTATATCCAAAAATTTTTGCTTAGCTTATCATTGTTTCTTTAACCACTTCCTCTTCCATTCTATATCTCAATAAATATTTATATATTTACCTAATCAATTTTTCTTCTGGCCCTAGTAAAATCCTGTCTAATTCCTGCTGTTCTTTTTGAAATTCATAGAATTTTATATCACTTTTATTCCTGGTCTGAATTTGCATATATCTCCACCAATCTATATCTATACCCTGATCTTTTAGTTCTTGTTTGGATTTCAAATTATGACTGCTGATAGTTAGATATTAGCACAAAAGTGCAATATGCCTGCATGACTCAAAATGTTGTGGGCCCAAAGTCTATTTCATGGTGTGGCCCCATTTTGAATACTAAGTAGCATCCTAGCATTCAGTGATAACAGAAATACTAACAGGTTTTCAAGGTTTGGGGGATTTAATTAAGTAAAAAACATAACCACAATTCTTGCCAAAGAACATGCCTGCATGACTCAAAAATTGTGGGGTCAATGTCTACTTTATGGTACAACCCCATTTTGAATACTATGTAGTATCCTAGCATTCAGTGATAACAGAAATACTAACTTTCCAAATTGGGGGCATTCAATTAAATGAAAGAATTCATTTAACCAGAATTCTTGCCAAAATAATTAATTTAATTATTCATAACTAAATAAGAGAACTCATAGCTATCACAAGGTTAGATAGCTTTAATTTGGAGCATGCAATTGTTCAAAGCTGGATGTAAAATAGAATCCCAGGTGATGAGATCTGTTAGGAGAGCCTTCTCACATAATCGATTTGAACATGGAAAACAATTGCCACTAATTGCTAATTACAGAAATATAGAAGCTCATTATAACTTTTTGCATGTTTTTGTTGTATAGTCTAGAGGGAAACAAAATTATTGCTAGCAATAAAGTCAATTTATTATTAATTAAGCTTGCCAAATATAAACTCAAATTTATCCATATATCTTTTTCAAAACTGAACAAGAATTCAATTCCATCCATGCATTATTGAACAATAATTCTGTGAAGAAAAATAGTAAGTGATCAGCATATTGATTATTTTACAAAAATGGCCATTTCCTGCTTTCCAGGGCAAATTGGCACTTATTTACATGTGTATTATTTGACTTTTTTATTAGAATCGCTTTTATACTTTTAGCATTTAGGAGAAGATTTGATAAAATTAAATTGTAATCTAGTACTTTGCTCTAACTCAAAAATGTTTAGGGTCAGTAGAACAAATTATTGGAAATATAGCATATATATAATATTTAAAAAAAAAACAATAATCTGTAACAATCGATTAATTTCCATAAGAAAAAATAAAGAGATCTAGGAAATAACTTTAATTTACTGAAAGAATGGCATGAAGATTGGAGAGCTACATGTTCAGTTCTGCAGAAGATTGGACTGGAGTTTAGAGAATCAGTGGAACAGAGATTGTAGAACATTAAGTAGCACAAGGGACTCAAGGAGAGATGAAAGCATAGAGTTCAAAGGGTAGCAACAGAATAACAAAATAATACAATAACAGAATAGGAATGGATCTTGGAGGTCTTCTATTCCAACACCCTGCTCAAGCAGGAGATCTCTACCATTTCAGACAACTGGTTGTCCAATCTCTTCTTAAAAACCTCCAGTGATGGAGTACCCACAACTTCTGAAAGCAAGGAGAATTAAGAGCAATTTAAACAAGTTATTCAGCTAATGTTCAGGCAGAAAGAGAAGTATATTGATCCTTTCTACTAAAAAGAAAACTGGAATAATGAAAGGTTCTTGCTAAAGCAAAAAGAGAGAGAGAAATGTACTATCTATAGCTTTCACATATACATGCACAAAGTGTGTGAGAGGGGGTCATTGGCACAAATACTGCTTTACTTGGAAGGATGTGCATAAATATAATGAGGGAGTTGTTGGAGGAACATTTTTTCATTACTTTATAAGAATTCTGAAGTTTGTGGGCCATTATTAGGAAGTTTCTCAACAATAGGAAGGGAAGGGAAGGGAAGGGAAGGGAAGGGAAGGGAAGGGAAGGGAAGGGAAGGGAAGGGAAGGGAAGGGAAGGGAGATAGTGGCTACCTATCAATAACAGATTTGTTTTTAATGTTATTTTTCTTTCACAAAACTACTAAAATTGCTGTACACAAGTTTCATTGAAGGGGCTATTGAAGGAAAACCATTTTTCTTCAGAGTGGGATCTCTACTGGAACCAGATATGCCTGTGAGACTTCTTATAAGGCATAAGGGTTTTGGTTCTCAATGAAAAAGAGTACTAATCCTCCCAAACAATTTTCTGAGATTCTTGGCATGATCACTGTTTGGATATAGATTCATTATTTTTATCTAATAGGATTGCACCCCTCAGATACCTTACAGATGTGGCATTCGCCTTGGTCATAACATTAACATGGAGAATCAAACCACTGTGTCTTACTTCTTGCTCCTGGAATTCTCAAAAAATCGGCACCTGCAGCTTCTACATATTTTCTTATTCTTCATATTATACCTGGTAACTGCAACAGCAAATATTTTCATCATCTCTGCAGTAGCTTTTGACCATCGATTGCACAGCCCTATGTATTTCTTCCTAGTGAATTTGGCAGTGCAGGACCTGGGTATTGTTTCAGTCATTATCCCCAAATCCATAATAAATTCTCTTGTGGATACCAGACACATCTCTTACTTTGGTTGCTATGCCCAAATCCTGATTTTTACCTGCTTTGAAGCTTCTGATTTATCCCTCTTGACAGTAATGGCATATGACCGGTATGTTGCCATTTGCCATCCGTTACACTATGAGATGGTGAT